CTTTGGCTGAGTGAACTATCTTGTTATGTACGATCTTTGGTTGAGTGAACTATCTTGTTATGTACGATCTTTGGCTGAGTGAACTATCTTGTTATGTATGATCTTTGGCTGAGTGAACTATCTTATTATGTACGATCTTTCTCTATAGCGAGACTTTTGTTTGAATTTCAATAACACGTCCATGGTGCGTACCAGCGTACAGAAGTTTTTTAAAGAGACAAAGAGTAGCAGCCATGACAGTTCCCAGTCTAGGATGTTATTTCAGGTCTTTGGTCTGCCATATTTGTTACAGCGGTGGCCAGGGTGTTTGCCTAAAAGGGTTTTAGAATAGTCGCTTTTGTGTAATGCTTGTCTTAGATTAATTATAGGTAATTTTACACTGTGGCATTATTTTGATGAACCGTCGGTGGAGTATTGTGCTTCTTTGCATTTTTTATCTTGTCCTTGTTGCTTAATTTTCATTTCTGTAAAATATTTAAAAACTTTCCTTATGCACCGTGATCAGTCTACTTGTACCTATGTAAAAATGCATTATTTCTATGTTTTTAAATTAGCAAACACTTTTTTGTACCTCAGTGTTATATCTCAGACTGCTATATCGTCGGCTCGTTGTTCAAATGTTCTAAGCTCAGAAAGCCAAACTTTTCAAGGGAAAAAAAATGGTTAATTCGTTTTTTTTAAAAATATACCTACCCCATGAACCTTTTCTGGGTTTTTTTTGTGGGTTTTTTTTGGGGGGGGGGCGGGGTGTTTTTTGTTGCTGTTTTTTTTATAATTGTTTAAATTATTGCTGTTTGTTTTTTGGGCTTTTTCTTTTCAACATTAGAATTTGAAACTCAATAAGATATTCCTTGAACACATACAACGGATACCACAAATTGAGAAATTGCAATTCTTTTTCTTTTTTTTCTTTCTTAAATCCACCATTCTGGGCGTGGTACATCTGAACAGCTGACTGACAGTATCTCACATTTCCCTGTCGTTTTTAATCATGTTACTGCCGTTTATCTTATCTTTCTATTATCATATTAATATTATCCTGTAAGTGTCAGCTTGAGTCAGTGTCAAAGAATGAGTTCCCTGCCTCAGTTGTAGCCTCGATTTCATGAGCTGTGGGAAATATGAATCTATTTCGAGTCGTTTCCAAAGAGACAGACGACCTTTTGATACGACCCAGCACAGAACATAATTATGTTTTTATAATCCTCTTGGCGTTTTTTTAGGGGGGGG